ATATGTTAGTTTGACAATTTGGACAGAAGAACTTTTTGCAGTGACTACATCTACTACATGCTAGCACAATTGAATGATCCTGGTCATGAGAAAATTATGTATTGGTGCCCACCTGGAAAAACACTTGCAGATATGGTGGAAATCATCCTGGAAGTTCACTGTCAGAAGATGGCCAAAGCCTCTGTTCACTCAAAGGTACTGGTTTTGTTTGTCAGGCATATCAGAAAACCTGAGATGCAGGAGGAAGATGACATTGTGTTCAAAGGTTGCCCTGTTCTACCCAAAGTTATATTTAGTCCACTTAGAAAGGACAAGAAGATGAAAACAGAGAAACTATCAGAGGAGGCAGAAAATTCAGAGCAACAAGAAGATGCAGATATATCAGAAAATTCAAAAGTTTCAGAAGAAGAGTATGAATGTGATTCAGACATAGATCCTACTTGGTATGACAGTGATTATGGAATGGAGGAGGATGATGAGGAGTATGACAAGAATGTAGATGCTGTTGTGCATGATGCTTTGATTGAGAAAGGCAAAAGTATTGGTGCTGAGTACAGGCATGTTCCTGGGACAGATGATGTGTATGAAGATGATTTGCAGCTGCCAGAAGAGGATGACTGGGATAGAAAACATAAAAGTGACTCTGATGATGAGGAGTATAAGAAGAAAAAAAGAAGGAGAAACCCATTTATAGTTTTAAACCATTTAACCCAGCTGTTGACATGGAAAACCCTTAATTCAAGCTGGGCATGGTTTTTGATTCTGTGGAGCTCCTTAGGAAAGTAGTAGCACAGTATGTAGTGAAGAACAGGGTGCAAATTAGGAAGAAAAAAATAATAAACAAAGATTTGAGGCAGTGTGTGAAGAGGGTTGCCCTTGGAAACTAGTGGCTGTCAATGACAATAGGACACAATCTTTTCTTGTGAAGACTTTAATTGCAGAGCACACTTGTGAGAAGGTCTGGGATGTCAAAGAACTAACAACCCCCTTTCTTGCTAGCAAATATGTGGAGAAGTTCAGAGATAATGAGAAGATTTCTCTAGCTACATTTTCAAGGAAAGTTAGGAAGAAATTTAACATGGAAGTTAGCAGACACAAGCTAGGTAGAGCTAGGAAAGCAACATTGGAAGTGGTGCATGGGGATGAGGTGAAGCAGTACCTTGTTCGTAACAGTAGAAGATTGTCGAAGCAGTGCAAACTGGAGGGCATGTGCGAAGCATGTCACTGGCTTGGGCACCGCTTTAAATAGGAGAGTGGCTCCCATTCCCGTTCAGGAGGGAGATGGCGAGCATTGCTGCCGCCACAACGGTCAACAACCTCCGCGCCGGTTCCGCCACAAGCAGCAGCGAAGCCGCCGCACCGACACCAGCACTGCCGCTCCCCCCACGTATGTTCCTGTGCCCACAACTGTGAAATCCTAGCCCACGGTCGATGCCGACCACATGGAAGAGAACCCCGGCGCTGTCCGCAACAACGCCGAGGAGGAGGGGCAAGGGGGAGGGAACTGTTGGCTAGGTTACTGTTCGTCTCAAGTAAGCAAATTTTATGTAGTAAATGGTCATCAACCAGCATTTTTTTAATCTAAAAAGTGAGATCTACCTCCTTGGCATGCTAAATCTTTTCTCCTAGTTAAGCTACCTCTGAAAACTCGTGCATTTGCTTCTTACATAATGTCTCCATTTGCCACTTCTTCACCAGCCGGCCTGGATGCATGGCCGGCAACTAAATAATTGCACATGGTTGGCAATCACTCTCTGCAAGACTAAAATAACCTAGTATGTTAATTTGTTTCTATTTTCTTATCTTTCGTCACAAAGACATATAACCATACGTTTGTGTGCGTACGTGCGTACGTATGTGTGTTGGCATCTTGTTCAGTAGAGGGAGGGAAATTTCCTTCTGCACAAGTGCATATAAAAAGCCTGCCATCGCTCCACCAGTACCACCAACCCAAAATAAGACATCTCAGGCTCCAAGCGCAATGGTGACTCACTTTGCAGTAGCTCTCCTGACAAGCCTCCTTGCTCTTGCAATTCTTGCAAGCTGCAACGTAGAAGGTACGTAGGTACATGCACATGGTCATATATTTGCAACTCTAGTTTCCAGGAATACTTACGCTAGTTTGTTTTGTAATGGTTGAGATCTGAAGGCGACATCCTCTACGCGCAAAGGCAGGCGTGGGAGGACCCCAACAACGTGCTGCAGAGCTGGGATCCAACCCTTCCCGATCCCTGCACCTGGTTTCATGTCTTTTGCTCCAGCGACGGTTCCGTTGTCCGTGTGTATTCACTTTTCTTTCTCATTTCTCCGGCCTTGTTTAAAGGATATACATAAATATGCCTCTGATTGTTTGTTTCCACTGTGCATGCGGTGCAGGGATTTGGGCAAGGCGGGCATCTCAGCCCCCCTGATTCCGGAGCTGGGAGGTCTTCAGCATCTTCAGTATCTGTAAGAAGATCTGCAACCTTGCTGCCAAGCAGAGACATTGCTGTTGCACGTACACTACACCAGGGATTGACCTCCTCGTCTTTGCATGTAGTGAGCTGTATGCAAATAACATCACCGGATCGATACCAGCGACCTTGGGCAACCTGACAAGCCTGATCACTCTTTATCTCTATGACAACCTTCTCACTGGAGCCATACCGGCCTCACTCGGGGCCATCCAGACGCTGCGTTATCTGTATGACTTCTGGTCACATTACAAGTATTACACAAAGATGAAGAAATGATAATTAACGTGCATTGCAACATTGTATGTTAAACCACCAATACAGAGAAGGTGCAATCTTCTAAGTACAAAATGACAAGTTTTGTTTCTTCCTTGCAGGCGGCTGAACGGGAATATGCTGACTGGCACAGTTCCGCCGGAGATTCTCTCTCTTGTTCTTGTGGGGAACTTGGCTGAACTGTGAGTAGTGCAGCTCATTTCAAACACCACATTACTTTTACTAATGTTCCTATTTATTCCCGGTCAGTTGAACCGAGACACCATATTAATTTCTTATTCATTATCTTGCAGTAATGTTGCCAAAAACAATCTGGAAGGCACTGTCAGATCATCTCGACGGCGCAGAGGTATATAAGCATATATGCGCTCGTGTATTTCTTTGTGGCGGGGAGAAGTTCTCGTGCGACAAGACTGATGTTACATCGCTACCAATAATGCATGATAGCACTACTAAAAAATCATAAGAAAATATGAAAAAAATGCGTCTAGGCACTACTGTACAATGATCTTTGCATTGCAATAAATTTGATTTTAAAAGATAACATGTATTAGGTGATACATAAAGCATAAACTCTTCTCCCCACAAAAGAAGGATAAACTGTTCCATAAATATTAGTGGTACGCCCAATATCTCTTCATAGCAAAAAATATGATCTTCTCATACTATGAATGTGTAAACTAAATTCGTATTTGAAATTTTCTTAGATGGCATATAAATTTTATGCTAAAATTTTGAAAATAGATCGGAAATAACATTTGGTAGTGCTCTTGTGTGATGTTGCACTCCTTTTGCGATCTACACCTTTGATGGTTTAGGCTTTCCATGTGGTTATTCCTTTTGTATATGCATTTATTTATGTGTTCACACAAATAATTGCTCACTTGGCATCCTTGCAGTGGCCTTCATCATCCAGGATACACTCAAGACTGCAAGCTAAGCAGGATCTAGAAATAATGGAACTGGAAGCACAAACTGAAAAGATTCGTCTTTTAGAGCTGTTAGCCGTAGGCACAGCTGAAGTTAATGGACCTAATTACATCCCATTATTTAAAGAGGAACCCATGAGGTTACCTCTGTCCCCGCAAAATGAAATGAGTATGAACGTATGAACCGGTACAACTTTGTTTATGCATGAACATATGAAATGAATATGAACATATGAAGTTCTTTTTCTTTCGAAAAGGAGGTTATCCCCCGGCATCTGCATCGGAGTGATGCATGAGGCCATCTTATTAATAAGCAAAATATTCAACAAAGTCTCAAAGTCTCAAATAACAAAAAGGCTCACAAAGAGCAAAAGCATGAAAACGAGATAGCCACAACCGGCGGAAAAAAGATAGATAGGAAACTAAACACCTATCCTATTACATGACCGCCATCCAAAACGGTTGAAGATAGCTTGTGCTACCGTCTCCCAATAGATAGACCCGGTAACCATACGCTCCCTGGCATCCGTCGGAGTAGCGACCACATACGGATTAGTGTAGTGGCCCGAAAAATAACCTGCAAGAAATGAATATGTATTGTTCTGTTAAAAACCAAATCGTTCCTGCAGTTCCATATAGCCCATAATAAAGCACATACTCCTATACGAATATGTTTCGCGGTTTCTAACTCAACTCCATCCAGCCATGTCCCGAATAACGTGTGGATGGTATTGGGAGGAGTAATGTTAAACGCTACGTGAACAGACCGCCATAAAATTTTCACCATTGGCCAATCAAGAAAGAGGTGTTTGACAGATTCATCATGTTCGCAAAAACTACATCTTCATGATCCTGTCCAGTTACGGTTTGTCAAATTGTCCTTAGTTAGAATAACTTGCTTGTGGACAAACCACATAAACACTTTAATTTTTAAGGGCACTTTGACTTTCCAAATATGCATAGAATGGTGAATAGTGCCAGAATTGATAATATCCAAATACATGGATTTCACTGAAAACACTCCGTTCTGAGTTAGTTTCCAGTGCAACTGGTCTGGCTGTTGAGAGAGGTGAACATCCATTAATCTTCTCACAAGATGGAGCCAGGCTTCCCAACGGTTTCCCGCTAACGTCCTCCTGAATTGAATATTTAGATGGTTGGACTGTAATACTATTGCGACGTAAGCATCTCTACGCTGAACAATATTATAGAGAGAAGAATTTGGAGAGCTAGAGGCGTCTCCCCTAACCACGTATCCTCTCAGAATCTCGTAGAAGTACCATTACCAACAATGAATTTTGTCCTTTGGAAGAAGGCTGATTTCACTCTCGTAGAAGTACCATTACCAACAATGAATATTTCCTTCAAGCTTGTCTGATGAAAGGTCAAGAAGCCCTATCTGAGATAGTCTCCCCATACTTGCGGGTATCCTCCCTGTATGGTTGTTGTTTGAGATGCGTAGCATCAAAAGATTACGACATTGCCCCCAGGTATACGATAATTGGCCAAACAGTTTATTTGAGATCATATCCATATACACAAGATTTGGGTGAACTCCTAAAGCAGAGATATATCCCTCTATTTGATTCCTTTCCAGACAAACTCTGACTAGGCTTCTGCAATGTATCAAACTTGACGGTAGTTGTCCATTCAGGTTGTTATCAGATGCAGTTAAATTCTTCAGCCAGCCTCCAGCGCACAACTCAGGTGGCAAGTGACCAGATATATTGTTACCATCCAACTGCAGTAGCTCAAGATCCATTAAGGTGCCAATTTCTCGAGGAGCTTGTCCAAATAATTGATTGTAACTGAGTTGCAAGGTGGTGAGCTTTGTCAAATTTCCAAAGATATCGGGGATAGAACCTATCAATTTGTTTGTGCTAACATCCAACCGTTGTAAATTCACCAGGAAACCTATTTCTTGTGGAATGTATCCAGAGAACTGATTATCAGCAAGGAACATGGTAGTGAGCTTACTCGAATTTCCAAAGAAGTTGGGGATGGAACCTACGAGGTTGTTTTTGCCAAGATTCAATGCTTTTAAATTGGCAAGTTTACCTAGTTCTCGAGGAATACACCCAGAAAGTTGGTTCTTGTTAAGTTCCAAATCTTCCAGATTCACCAGGTAACCTAGTTCTGGAGGAACTTTCCAGGAAAGTTGGTTATCCCATAGATACATGCCAATGAGGCTAATCAAACCACCAAAGGAATCGTGAATGGAACCCATGAGTTTGTTCGTGCTAAGATCCAACATTTGTAGATTCACCAAGTAACCTAGTTCTCGAGGAAGATACCCTGAGAATTGATTACGGTAAAGGTACAATGTCGTGAGCTTAGTCAAATTCCCAAATGTAGGGGGAATGGATCCCATGAGTTGGTTCTTGTTAAGATCCAAATCTTCAAGATTCAGTAGGTAACCTAGTTCTCGAGGGACTTGACCGGAAAGTTGATTATCCCATAGATACAGAACAGTGAGGTTAATGAGACACCCGAAGGTATCGGGGATGGAACCCTTGAGTTTGTTGAAGTTAAGATCTAATATTTTCAGACTTACGAGGTGCCCTAATTCTGGAGGAATATGCCCGGAAAGTTGGTTACCCCATAGGTACAAGGCGGTGAGGTTAATCAAACCCCCAAAAGTATCAGGGATGGAACTGGTGTGGTTGTTTTGCCTAAGAGACAACTCTTGCAAATTCAAGAGATGACCTAGTTCTTGAGGAATATATCCAGAGAGTTTGTTATCACCAAGGTACAAGAGAGTGAGTTTAGTGAGCTTCCCTAAACTTCTTGGAATATGGCCTGTGAGGTTGTTGCTCGTTAAATCTACACTAATTAGTTTCTGTAGGTAGCCTAGTTCAGTGGGGATGGGACCAGATAAGTGATTGGCTCACAAGTCAAGCCCCACTAGACTCTCTAGGTGTTTTATTTGCCATGGTATTCACCGGAAAGTTCATTCTCCTGGAGCATTAGGTGCCGCAGGTTAGGCAAGGGTGATGCTAAAGCGGGTGGGAGGGAGCCCCTTATCTGATTGTTGAAGAGGTGGATACTCGTAAGAGTACGCAGCGCCGTGAAGTTGAGGGTGCCGAGGTCCCCCCTCAGCCGCAGCCACGGTAGAGAGATCTCGGTGATCACCTTCCCCGGATGCTTGCTGCACTCGATTCCGTGCCAGCTGCATGGCCATGTACCATTGTTTCCCCTTCCCCGGATGCTTGCTGCACATGATGTCATGCCAGCTGCATGGCCATGTACCGTTGTTTCCCCTTCCCCAGGTTTGCAGCTGGGCTGGGTGGCTTTGGAGTGTGGATATCCAGGCGAGGAGGGCTCCTGCCTGTTCTTCCAGGGTCGGCACGAGAGACATGGCTGGTGGAAACGTGGCTAGTAGGAGAGCGAGTGAGATGAGTGTGAGGAGAGGGGAGGTCGCCATGACTTGCATGGTAGGAACTGGTTCTTTGTTTATGCCTGTGAAACGTCACGGAGTCATCTTATATCAGTTTCACGATCCTTGGCATTTTTCATGGGTGTAGCTCCCACACACGACTCTTTAGTCTTGAGACAGCTCCATGTACGGTTTGAGTCAGTCCTCGTTTGCTGTGTGGTCCGTTTCTTTTAGGCGTGACTGTGCTGCTTCCGCCTCAGCACCTATCATTGGCTGTATCGTGGTGGTTGCTTTGTAATACAAAACCGGGGGAAACCCTTTCTCGGAGTGTACTGCTAAAGACTCACCATCAGCAGATTGGCGTACGCCAGTTATATTATAGCACGATCAGGACAGGTCGTCCGCCCAGGTCCAAGGGAAGGCAAAAAAGTCTGATTCCAGCTGAAAAAGTTGGACTCGATGGACGCCAATGATCAGTTTGATTCCAGCTGCAAAGTTGGACTCCACGGAAGGTTAGACATGGACACTTGATATTGAGCTTCAGATACTGTTCAAAGGAAATACGGCATGCCGACATGTTTCGCAAATGTATATATTTAGTGGATACGATCATGTTGTAGCACGCTCACTGTGCTTGCAGATTGCTGTTACAAAAACGATCATTTGTGAAAAAACCAGCATAGTCATGCATGTACAGATATTGCTTCCATCGTATATTCATGCCAAAAAAAGGACTGTAGAAGACATAGATATTGCTTCTACACTTCCGCAGAGACGGACGCCCGTCGTCATTGCCGCAAAATGCCAGGTGCTCCGCATGGCGCTCCAAGAGTCGGAGTGGTTGGCGATGCAGCCAGCGACGACGGTGAAGAGAGGAGCATGGCTCCGAGGAGAGCAGACCCGCGCCGCCCGACACATGGCGGGCATCTTCATATTGCCGTCCTCCTCCGCTTTGAACAGCGATGATGATGATGACGCGCCCGGGGACACCGACGCCTACGCCGAGTCCAGCCACCGAGATCCCAAGGGGAAGCGTCCGGCAAGGAAGTGGTGAAATCAGCCTCTAATTTTAATTCGTATCAAGTCGTTAAGTGATGAACTCGGGTGGCGGGCACTTTTCGATCGGATTGTGTTAAGTTTCTATGTCCAATCAGATTATGTTTATATGTTATCTATGCCAGATTTCTACGTTCTATGTTGATCTATGTAGGAACAACGTTTGTATATGGATTAGAGTAGCGTCGGTGTTAAAACTGGCAGATCTCAGGTAGGGGGTTCCAAGCTTGGTGATCTGAGCTAGATGGTAACAGGAGAAGTAGGGACACAATGTTTTACCCAGGTTCGGGCCCTCGTCATGAGGTAAAACCCTACATCCTGCATTGTATAATATTAACAAGAATTATACCTAGTTTAATTATGGTACTAAGATGCTTACATTAGTTCAAGTTCACTATGCTTTCCAAGGAAGTACCTAGGTGGTATATAAGAAATTACATGGCACAATCACGTCATCCATAGACATAGGCACTACTGTGTAGGAATGATGAGCCTAGCATGTATAAAATCAATATGATTTGCACATGCTTTAATCGTTGATAACTCGTCACTGGCATGCCGTGCCGTTGGTCTGCGTGATGGACTCGGCTCAAGGCATTGAACTGCAACCCTGAGCATGGAGTATATTTCTCTAGTGGTTGCGGCATCTGGTAGCACGAGCCTCAAGTCCAGCAGATCCTTTAAGTAAACATCATTATTTTTGGTTCTCAATGAGAGGGATGAGAGCAAATCACCTGGATGGCATCCTGCAAATAACTCCAAAACAAGCACTCCAAAGCTATATAGATCACATTTCTCTGTCACATTGTCTGTATATGCTAGCTCTGCAATTATTATAATCTAATTAGCGTATGTATGTGCTGCAAGTAAATTGATCAAAGATCATCATAATGATCAAAATACATCACATCCACAAAACTAGTTGTTAAGGTTTGATTTTTGTTTACCTGGGGCAAGATAGCCTTTTGTCCCTGCAAGCCTTGTAATATTCTGGCCATCAATATCGAGAATTTTAGCAGTACCGAAGTCCGAAATGCAAGCTCGATATTCCAGATCAAGCAAAATGTTGTTGCTCGTTATATCTCTGTGGACTATTGGTGACGAACAATCATGATGCATGTATGCCAAAGCATGAACCACGTCCAGTACAATATGTACCCGCCTTCTCCAGTCTAACTCGATTGCTCTTGCATTGGATCTCAATATTTCCGCTAAGTCACCTCTATCCATATATTCATAGATAAGGAACCTTCCTTGTCTAGAGGAACAATACCCAAATAGTTTGACGATGTTTCGATGTCGAATCCGCACCAATGCCTCTATTTCAGAATTGAACATTGCCTCGTTCACACAACAGTCATCTTGTATCGTGTGTATCTTCTTCACCGCAAATATTTCACATGCTGAAACTCTAGCTTTGTAGACAGATCCATATCCCCCTGTTCCAATGCAATGGGTCTCACTAAAATTGGTGGTTGCTTCCACAATTTGCTTGAACACATTTGCCCCATCAAAACTCCAAATAGAGAATACTTTTTCTTGTGTAACTCTAGAATTGACAATTGACTTTGATTTGTTCCTCTCATGTCGGAACACCAATATATATACAACAAGAACAAGACATATCGTAGTAGTAACCATGGCTAGTGCAAGTGTTTTGTATCCTTTCATCTTCCCTCCATTCTGGGTTGGACTACTACAAGGGGGCAATCCTTTCACAACACCACATATCATCTTATTATGCATGAACCATTGGATTGGAGCTCCTCGGAAGAGTTTACTCTCTGGTACTGGCCCTTCTAATTCATTATAAGATAAATCAATCAATGTCAAGCTTTCCATTCTCTTAAATGACGATGGGATCAAGCCACTAAGTTCATTGTTTGAAAGATTCAAAGTTTCTAGCATGGTTAGACTACTAAGTTGGCTTGGTATTGCCCCACTAAATGAATTTTCACTTAAATCCAACTTGTCCATTAAGTTGTGCAACACCCCTAGCATGGAAGGGATGCTTCCTCTGAAGTTATTTTGTCTCAAATTAAATGAGCGAAGCATTAAACAATTCTCAATTGATCCTTGTACCAAACCGCTTAGGTAATTTGATGACAAATCTAAAAAGTCCAGACTGGACAATGCCCAAAATTCTTGTGGTATGCTTCCATGGAGCGAATTGTCTGCGAGGTTCAGGTGGAATAACTTTTTAAGATTGCCAAGTTCTCTTGGAAGCTCCCCTTCAAGCTTGTTTGATGAAAGATCAAGTATCCTTAGTCCAAACAGCTGCCCCATACTTGTGGGTATTTTACCCGTGATGTTGTTGTTTGAGATACTTAGTTTGTTAAGTTTACGACACTCCCCCCATTTATAAGATAATTGACCAAATAATTTGTTTGATCTCATATCTATGTACACTAGATTTGGATGAGCTCCCATCGCAGAAATATCTCCTTCTAGTTGATTCATTTCAAGACGAACTCTGACCAGGCTTGTACAGTTTAACAAGCTTGATGGCAAAGATCCATTCAGGTAATTATCTTCTGCAGTTAAATTCTTTAGCTGGCCACTGATGCACAAATTGGGTGGCAGAGGACCGGAGAGGTAGTTATTGGAGAGCTCGAGTTTCTCAAGATTTGTTAAGTTGCCGATTTCTCGAGGGATATGTCCAAACAATTGATTATCACTGAGTTGCAAGGTAGTGAGCTTAGTCAAATTTCCAAAGGTATCCGGGATGGAACCCATGATTGTGTTATTGCTAATAACCAGATCTTCTAGTTTCACCAAGTAGCCTAGTTCTGGAGGAATAAATCCAGAAAGATGGTTATCCCTTAGGTGCAAGCTAGTGAGTTTAACCAAATTCCCAAAGGTATTAGGGATAGAACCAAAGAGTTTGTTGATGCTAAGATCCAACTCTTCTAAATTCACCAGGTAACCTAGTTCTGGAGGAATAGGCCCAAAAAGTTTGTTCTCCCAGAGATACAAGTGAGTGAGGTTATTTAGACTCCCAAAGGTATTAGGGATGGAACCCATGAGTTCATTTACATTAAGGGACATCTCTCGTAAATTTAGCAGGTAACCTAGTTCTGGAGGAAGATATCCACATAAATAATTTCCTCTAAGGTACAAGATGGTGAGTTTAGTGAGATTCCCTAAAGTTCTTGGAATAGGGCCTATGAGGTTGTTGTTGACAAGACCTAACCAGACAAGCTTCTTTAGGTACCCTATTTCACTGGGGATGGGACCAGACAAGTGATTGGCAGATAAGTTAAGCGAAACAAGATTCTCTAGTTCTCCTATTTGCCTTGGTATTTCACCAGAGAGTTTATTCTCCTGGAGCATTAAGCACCGTAGGTTTTTCATGGATGCTAAAGCAGGTGATAAAGGGCCCCTTATCTGATTGCGTTGAAGAAGCAGGAACCGGAGCTCTCTGAGTGACACAATGCCGGGAGGGATCCTCCCGGTGAGCCTGTTGTGCGAGAGTTGGATGCTCGTCAGGGTCGCCAACGCCGTGAAGTTGAGGGCGTCGAGCTCCCCTCTCAGCCGCAGCCCACGTAGAGAGATCTTGGTGATCACCTCTTGGTGCGTTGCCTGGTACTTGCTGCACTCGATGCCGTACCAGCTGCAGGGCCAGTTAGTGTTGTTTCCCATTCCCCAGAATTGAAGCTGGGCAGGGTGGCTTTCTAGTGTGTCTTTCCAGGCAAGGAGGGCTCCTGCTTGTTCTTGGAGAGACGGCACTGCCATGGCCTGGAGAAACATGGCTAGTGGGACAGTGAGTGAGATGAAGCGTAGGAGAGGGGAGTTCTCCATGACTAGTCGCATGGCTGTGGTTGGAGCTTGGGTCTTGGTGTATGCCTCCGAAACTGTGCGCAACTTCACCTTATAAGCAGCTTCATGGTAGGTAGACCGCGTACGACTGGACGCAAGGGTCCTAATTTTACAGAAATAATGTCGCCTCGTCTTAGCGTGGAAACCGTGTCCAAGTAAATTCTGGTTCTGGGCGTTCTTTGTAAATTAACCCTAGAATTTTGGACTGGAGGCTTTAAGCTTTTGTACTGGTCGAGGCAAAGGTCTGCAAAGTAGTGAGCTTTGAGGAGTTTAAAAACAAAAGGCGACGTACGTGTTTCGCGTGTATATCTTTCCCTTTGTTGTCCCTGCATAAGAAACCACCAAAGAAAGAAAAGGTGGGCATTGGATTCAACGAAAAGATCTCTCTGTGCTCATGATTTTCAAGGGGGTAGAATGACAGGTACAAGTGCACTAAGCTTGAACCATCTGTAAATAAACCTGAGTGCGCTCGTCCCAAACTGTGACCTCATGTTGACCGTTCCTGATGCTAAAGCTACTCTGGTGGCCGAAAATTAAGGATAGAAATAATCTAATTCTAGCAAAGCTCGACCAATATTGACCACTGATAACTGAGTTAGCAGTAGCGCAGGTCAAACCACCGCTACTGCTAAAGGTTAGCTGTAGCGCCCTAGCAATAGCTCGGGACCCCGCACTACTGCTAGAGTTTTCCCTAGTAGTGAATGGTTACATAAAACATGGGCACATGCAAATGACATCAGTCGACCGGGAGGTTCTGCTACTCCGGCGGTGTGGTGTACATTATGGAGGCTACAAATTCCACGTAAAGTTTCAATATTTTGCCGGTGTTTACTACATGGAATTCTGCCCCTAAAAGGTATGCTCGCTAATAGACACGTCGGGGCAATTAGAGGGTGCCCAATTTGCCATCAGAGCTCTGAAGATATACACCATCTATTCTTCACGTGTATTCACTCGAGAGATATGTGGAGCCGCCTTGGATTGACATATTTCATCAACACTGCAGCAAATGTTGATCGATCTGGGTCGGTCATTATGGAGCATATCTTGTCAATTCACTACTAGGGAAAAGCCTAGCAGCAGCGCGGGTTTTGGGTGTATCAGTAGCGCGGGTGCCCGCGCTACTGATACGGCGCCACAGCTAACTTGTAGCAGTAGCGCGCGTTGACACACGCTACTGCTATACATGGTTAGCTGTAGCGTGTGTTGCAAACAGCGCTACTGCTAATTAGCTGTAGCGGGTCTTATACCCCGCGCTACTGCTATTACTTTCAAAAACAAAAACAAAAATCCCGATCTCGTGCGTGCTGTCAATGGCAGCAATGGTAAGATCTAGCGATGATTGGCGTCGCCAGAGGCATGAACGGACAGCGGAATACCAGATCCAGCAGTGGCTGTTGGAGAGGGCCCGTTTCTATGGCAGAGCCAGGCCGCGGCATGGGGCTCCTCTTCCCGACCATGCCAGATAGCTCCGGGTCATCCATGGCGACGACCTGCACGGGCATGGACATGGGAGGGTGAGTCAAACCAGAGGGAGAGAGAGAAAAGGAAAACCGAGGGAGAGAGGAAGGTGATGTAGGGAGCAGCGGAGCTAGTCACCGGTGGCAAGGTGCTCCGATGTGGTGGCGCGGGGCGGCGGCCTCCTAGACGTCGGTGGAAGACCGGCGAGCTCCTAGACGCCGGTGGCGCGAGGCAGCGGCCTCTTTCGGCGCCATGGAGGAGGATGGGTGCATGGGCAAGAGGTCCATGTGAGAGCGTATGAAAAGTGAGAGGAGAGAGTGGTGGAAGAGAGGATGCATTTGGGGGAGGAGATGGGGATTCGGCCGAGGATATGGCGACTTCACCTACCTCGTACTTAGTAGTAACGAGGGGTATAAAACCGCGCTACTACTATCAACTTAGTAGTAGCGCGGGTTTATACCCCTCGCTACTACTATGGCATGTGTCGGGGGGCACGGTAGAGACCGCTTAGTAGTAGCGAGGGTTAAAAACCCGCGCTACTACTATCAACTTAGTAGTAGCGAGGGTTAAAAACCCGCGCTACAGCTAATTAGCAGTAGCGCTTCTTTTTGTGCCGCGCTGCTGCTAAGATTCTGTGTATAAGGTTTTCCCTAGTAGTGATTGATCAAACGCCACTACCTCTAATGCTAACATTGGAGATTGAACAGGTGGTAGTGGTGGGATGTTGGTATCTCCGGTGGACACACCACCTTATAACATATAATGAGAGTTGCCCGCGTTGGTAAGATGGCCTTTGTCGGTCTTAGCGATTACATACAACTATCAGCGAGCCATGTTGAAGATAGTCGTGACAGAGGAGGCAAGATGGTTGAAACCAGACACAATGTTCATCAAACTCAATGGACCCAGCCTTTTTTGTGGATGAAGGAGTTGGAGCTACGGAAGCAATTATTAGAGACGAATGAGGTATTTTTCCTTGCAGCTCACTGTAAGCTTATCCCCTATGCAGCGGACGCAATGACATCAGAGGCAATGGCGATGAGGGACAGACTGAACTTGGCAAACAACATACGGTTCCAGCGGGTTGAAGCGGAATCCGACTCTCTAACGGTGATCAACTGTTGCTCCTGTCAAAGTACTTGGTGGGACGTGGCGGCAGCGATATTCACGGAATGTGTGGACATCTCTACCTTGATTGGAAAGCTCAACTTTAAGCATTGTCTTTGATTAGCAAATCAAGCGGGGCATGTGCTAGCTAGTTTTAGTATTGTAAAAAAATTTCTTCTAGTTGGACTAACGAGCCTCTAGATTGTTTGGTCAGCAAGCTCGTAGACGATGCATCTCTGTTAATTAATCAATAAAGCTTGTCATGATGGTCTTTCTTAAAAAAAGCGGTAGAACGCTCAGCACTCAGCATCTATGTGTAACTCAAAAAAAACGGCTATGTGTGAGGGGATGAGCGGAGAGTAGAGAAAGAGACACAGCGTCAGATGAAGCCTTTACAGATAAGGAAGCAGAGGCCGGGGAGACAGGAGCGACGTGGGTCTATGAATACCTAGTACGTCGCTCGCAGCCTTGTTGACTAACCGGAGAAAAATATATAGTACCCACAAAAAAGGAGAGCGACTATTATCATCGGACATTGGTGGACACTCGAGTGAAGCTTTTCTTCGTGCGCACGCGGACTATAAATACCGGCCTTGGAAGTAGGATAGGCAAGCAGCACAGCAGGACACACAGTTCTGAAAGTCTCATTTCCCAAGAAAATAAAAGCTCTCAAACCCTCAAATATCAGCACAACCAGATATACCCATGGCATTCTTGGGTAGTAGTAGAGCTGCCGGCCGTCTCATGGTGCTCCTCCAGATGGCTCTCTTCGTCATCGTCTCGGCGCTCATCATGAACAGCTCCTTGTGCCTTGCAGCGGCCGGCCAGGACGACATTGCAGGTCAGACCGTGCTTAATTCCAAACTGGCTGTTATTGTTAGAACTCCGCCCACAGGATTGATCATATCATAGTACGACAAACACACGCACAAAAAACTTTTATAGCCAAGGGCTCTTGTCGTGCCCTTTGTTTTTCCTCTTTTTATTTTCTGTTTTCTCCACGTTGAT